CTGCCCCAGCTCCTGCCCCTGCCCCTGCCCGCAGTGCACAGCCCCCCGCCGCTGGCCCCTGGAGCCTCCCTGGGCAGAGGCTGGAAACGCTGCCAGTTAAGAGGAGGAGAGGAAAAAAAAAAAAAAAAAAGTGGGGGGAGGAGAGGGGCTGTGCAGTTCACACCAAGATGCCAGAAACTTGAGGAATGTTTTCTCCTTATAAAGTTTTCTTCACCCGTGCCTTATCTCCACACCCGGCCATATCTGGCAAGGGATACAGTGGCTTGGGACTGCAGCAGCCGGTCCCCCTTCCCGTAAATGCATCCCTAAGAGACAGAGTGGCTGGAGGGAAAATGCGCTGGAAACCTTGCTGTTTACTCTGGGGCATGATGCCGCGGGGAGGTGTGCACAGAGCAGGGACTGGTGCTTTCCCTGGCAGCCCTTGCCCCACGCACTGGCTGTCCCTCTCCTGCCCGGGGGTCTCTGGCCCCACAGGACTGCCAGTGGTGCTGCCTGGCCTGGCCTGGCCCTCCCTGGGCACCCCAAGGGTGACCCAACACACTTGAGACCGCATAGCAGGGGCAGAGACCCCACACCTCCATGGGGTCTTAGGGTTTGGGAGTGCCCCCAGTACCTGAGCAGCGGTACGGCTTGTGATAAATAAGGTCTTGAGAAGTTTCACCTCTGAAGCAGAGTTTATTTAGTTACTGGGTTTTCTTCAAGTCACTTAAGCTGACCCAGGCCAGGACCAAGGATGGGTTTTGTTCCTGGAGGACCCCCATGCCAACCTTCTTTGCCTGGCCCTTGGCCAGCTGTGGGATGCTGCAGCCCCTGTTCCGGAGGCAGCTGCATGCTGGAAACCCTCCTCACCCTGACGGGTCCCCTCCTGCTCCCCCAGACTCCTCACCCTGTTCCCTTCCCAGAGCCCAGGAGGTTTGGTGGTTTGTGCGTTGCTCCAGGGCTGCTGTGGGTAACAAGGACCTTCTTGTGGATGGCAATGTCCTGAAAGCGGTTGGGGTCCGTCACTTGGTGTACTCAGGGTCACCCACAGGCCCCCACGCGCAGGCTGTGCCCCAGTAAAGCCCTGCTGTCTTGGGCTCTCCCGTGTCCCGGTGTGCCCTGTTCCGATCATGCAACCGGATCCGCTCCCCCGGCGCTCAGGGCAGTCCTGGCAAGGGGCCCTTGGCCGCGGGCGATGCTTTCTGCTCAGGCATGCCCACAGCACTGTGCTGGGAGGGTTTGCAGCGAGATGTGCAACTCCTCCAGCTCCGCAAAGGGCTTTTTGGTACAGACAGTGTCACAGTAAGGTCTGACCACGCCAAAAGCAGAAACCCAGGAGAAGCTCCGTGAGCCAGGGACTCCCAGCGTGGCTGGACCCTGATCCCGCCATGGGGGGCACAGGGCTACTCTTGCAGCAGCGCTGCCCCGTGTTACCCAGCGTGGCAGCGGGCAGAGGGGCTCTGGAAAGGCAGCGTCCCTGGTGAAGGAGCTGAGCTGGTACCGGCGCTGCAGCCGTGGCCGGTGGAGCCCCCTCCCGCATCGTCGTCCGTGAGGGAGGGGAGGGAGCTTAGGGCGAGTGCAGCACATCCTTGCTGAGCGAAAGCTCAGGGCAGCTGGTTTTAATGAAAGCCATCCATGCACCGCTCCAGCACATGTGTCCACAGGCTGGGGCGTGCAGGTGGCGGTGAGGGGAGCCTTCACCAGGGGCACTGCTGGTGTCAGCACGGCCCTTCTCACCCCCACAGCCGCTAACCCGGAGCAGTGCCCACCTCATCATGGGGCAAACCCGTCAGTGCACCCCTGCCATTACCACCAGGTCCCGCTCTCCTTGCTCAGACTTGGGAGGAACCTCTGAAAACGTCGCCTTCTTCCTCCTCCCAGACCCCTTGGTGCCGGCAGCGTGGGCAGAGCTGGGTCGAGCCGTTCCCACAGATGCAGGGTGGGCTCACTGGCGGTGGGGGTCCAGGGGCTGCCCAGCTCTCTGGGCATCAGGCGTGCAGGAATCCCTCTCCCCTGCCAAACCGCTACGGGGCTGGGGCTGAGGGAGGGCTGGCGGCAGCGGGACCCACAGTCCCGCCGGCAGCCGTTTTCACCTGCTCCAAGCTGGCCCCGTTCCCAGGGCTGCTTCCTGGGCACAGGAGCCATCGGCAGTGACGTGTGCCAGTGTGTTTGGGCTCACGCTGGAGGGTGCAGGGTCAGGTTCCGTCTGTACAAGCCTGCTCTTCCTCCCTTACCCTGTGTGAACTTTGGATGCACTCAGCAGCCTGAGGTCCCG